ATCGCGCACCATTTAGGGGATTAATAATTTGAATAATTAATTATACATAATTCAAGTAGACATTTACATATATAGTTTATCACATATTATTTTTCTTGTGAATCTTAACAATTTTGGATATGGATTATATTAGTTTTATTTATTCAGGTATGTCTATGTGACATCCTTAACGATGTTATCCTCATTCTCGACAATAATATTGAAAATCGATTTTTTTTATTTTCATAAAGTATACTTTCGATGAAAATGTAACAAACAAAATATTAAAAATTAAAATTCTTTGTATAAAAAATATAGGATTAAAAAAAGATAATATTCGAAATTGATAATAAGGAAGAATATCATAATATTAAAATATTATAATAATAAATTATAATATATATATATATATATATTATATAATATTTATCATATATAATATATATAATAAACATATTTAATAATTACAGCAATAATTACAATATTAATAATTACAATTTAATATTACGTCTGAAATAAAATATTTTGTCGAGAATATTGAAACAACGTAAAAGAGTGTAATGATATTGATTATTAATAAATAAATTCATATTGGATATCTATATTCTTATAATTTTCCATGATGTCCTATTATTTCAAACGAATCAATACGATACGATAAATTACCAAAAAGAAGTTTGGCATATTTTGCATATTTGTTCACTTTACACACCTGTACATTGGTAACAACAGTTTTATTAACGTTCTTATCAATAATAATATTAATAATTTCTTCGTACTTGCATTATTCTAATACAATATTATTGTTAGAACTTAATGGACGAGTATATTTTTTTTAATTTTATCAATTTTGATAATTCAAATATTTTATTTTCTTATTCTAAAAATTATATCGAACAAAGATTAAAATAAAGACGAAAAATAAAAGAATTTTTTTATACATTTTTTTAAAATTTTTACAAATATTCTATTGAAATATTAATATAAACTATTGAAATATTCATTATAAATAAATATGATTTATACATGCTCATCGTCCTTTAAGAATTAACAAAAACAAAAAGAAGGGAAGCCTTTTCTATTTATATATGGTCTAAACATGTCACAGTCACATTTCCTAATGCATTCCAAACACTCTATCCAATAGTGTTTGCGTATATACTTCTGTTTATCTCATGTATTTGTATACTTTTACTAAAGTATTAATTTTTATTTTAATACATTCACGTTGTAATATATGTAACAGAATGTGTCAAACACATCTGAAGAAAAATTATAAAATTTATCGAATTTTATTTCCTCCATTGTTCCAACTTTTTTTCATTATAATTAAAACTAACTCAAATAAATATTTTTTAAAAGTTTAAAGGATACAATTTATAAACAAGATTTATAGAAGAAATATATAAGACTTATTTTTTATAATTTTGTGATATACATTTAAAGTATGATATACATTAAAAAAATTTTTATATTAAAACATATATTGATAGTATTATTATTTTAATAAAAATTACAAGTTAATAATATATGATATAATAAATTATTATAATTATTCAATTGATAGCAAAAAAAGACTAATATTAATTTGTGAATTGATTAGATCTGTTTCAAATAAAAATATTAAAATGAAAATATTTAAACGTAATTGCAAAACAAAATTATTTAAGAAATTTTAATAATAAGAAAAGAACACGATGATAAGTAAATGATATGTCGTTGGAAATATAGTTGGGACAACCGAAGATTAATTCGACTCTTTGGTCGAGGCCTTCTAAATTATTCGAATTAAGCGTGACAATAGATCATTTGATTCACTCCAATGAAAGTTTGTCTGGCAAATCTTCAATTTT